CAGCCAAAAATGTGCGATTTTTACTGATTTTCGCCGATTTCAGCACTTTTTTGGCTGAAATTTTTTAAAGATTTTTTTTTAAATTATAGGCTTAGGCAAAAACGCCTTGTTTCCCTTCCTCCGGGACACCCGCATTTTGGCGCCAAATTCAAAAAATTTGGTAGCTCCGAAAATCGATAAAAAATCGTCTAGAAATGCTAGAAAAGGATTTTTCCAGGGCAACTCCCTGCCTGTCTTCACCAACACCAAACCACTCAAAGGAGCGAAGTCAGGAAGCAGTGGAGAAGTCGTCAAAGCGATTCAGGAGGCCAATTCGAAGCTTCTCTCTCCAACATCCTTGATTTTCGACCCCAAATACCCGGCACACGTTTTGTATCAATCTTACTCCAAAGGAATCCTCTCCCTGTACATTTTGGCAGGAGACACCAAGGATGCGGAGGTTGTGACCAAGGCGTTGGCCGGAGGAAACGAGTCAGAGGTCGAGAAGGCTGGCGCAGAGCACGGAACGATTGGAGTGCTCCTCTGGAGACCTGCAGAGGCCGAGAAGCCAGTGGTGCGAGTGTTGGTGTCAGGAAATTCGAGCCTTTCTCGCATCCAACAATCTCTGGACAAGGCCGCAAAGGCTCTCCCATTCCTCAACGCGCCAACTGTCAAGTCGAAGGATGCCCTGACTGCAATTCCAGCTCCAGCAATCCCAAGATCCGCAGCAACCAACCCTGCAGCTAAGCCAGCCGCTGCGAAGCCATCTAGACCCACCACAGCTGCTCCAGCGAGAGCTCTCACTTCTCGCGCGCCAGCTCCAACTCCTCCATCATCCCGGCCAGCTTCCAAGCCAGCTATGGCACCGGCTCGCGGAGCTCCAGCGAAGCCAGCTCCAGCCAAGCCAGCTCCAGCCAAGCCAGCCGCTCCAGCTAAAGCTGCGCCACCATCACGATCAGCTCCAGGAGCTCCAAAAGCTCCAGTATCCGCCCCAAAGGCTCCAGTGAGATCTTCCGCTCCACGGGCATCCGCAGAGCCCGTTGCTCTGAAGAAGACAGTCGGGAAGGTTCAGGGAGCGGCTCCTACGAAGACAAGCCGTCCAGTGGCTGCCAAGAAGGATCCATCGCCACCTGCTGCTTCAGCTCCAGTGACCACACCGGCTCCAGTAGCACCGGTAAGTCCAATGGAGCCCGTTTGTTAGATTTTCGAGCTTACTGTATTTTGATTTTTGGCATTTTTGGATAGTTCTTAGTTTTGAAATTGTGATTTTCAGCTTTTTTCTAGAATTTCAGACAGCTTTTTTTTCTCTAGCAGTGTCGTGACTCCATTTTCAGGCTGTCCCCATCGCCTCCATCGTTCTCGACGGCGTGCCAATCGATTTGGACCTCCTCCCAGCTTCTGGAGAATCCCACCAGCAACCAGTCGACATCGTTCTGATCCCACCAACGCCAGAGCCGCCACGTCATCACGACGACGAGGAGGATCAGAAGAAGAAGGAAGCGGTGCCAGAGGTAACTGAGCCACGTGGATGTAGTACTCGTCAGCTTGTAGCACTAGTCTTGTGTCGTCTCGTGTAACCCCAACAAACCACACTTTTCAGCCACCAAAAGAAGTCGATGACGTGGCGAATTTGGCCGACGTGGAGGATGAGATTCAGAAGGATCCCGAGGTCCAGAGACTCCAGAAGAGGTGTCGGGCGTTCCAAAGGCTCCAGAAGCTCCAGAGGAGAAAATTCCTGAGCCCATTGACGCTTTCAAGAAGCCAGAACCTTCTGATGACGTGGCTAAAGAGGCAGAAGAGAAGCCAGAGACTCCAAAAGACGTGGAGGACAAGATCCCCGAGCCAATTGACGCGTTTAAGAAGCCAGAGCCTTCTGACGGTGACGTCGCTAAGGATCCTCTCGCCGACTTCGACCCAATGAAGCCAGAACATCCAGAACCATCGGCTCCAGCCGTCCCATCCGGCCACGTCATCATCTCCACACCCGACCCGGATCTTCCGGACATTGCTGCGGCGGTTCCGTTCGTTGCACCGACTCCCCTGGGTCCAAACGACGGACTCATCAAGTTGGACGATGATTTCGTCAAGATTGCACCTGGGTTCGAGGTACTGTAGTTTAAATCCACGTGGATTTCATTTTTGCTACCTTGGCATGCGCATGATCATTTATATATACCTTTTTCTATCGCACTTGGGAGTCTTTGGCTAGGTGATGGACCCCGAACATCCTTACAAACCGACACACAGACAGAAAGTGCTCATTCTCAATTCCTTTTTTCCAGGAACCCCTGATTCCACAAGCTCCACGTGAGGATGGAACACTTGCCGATTGCAGTGAGGAGCTCTCCAAACTCGTGGAGATCAGTATGGATACCGACAAGTCTACGGAAGCCGGCACCGCCCTCGCTGAAGCCATCGGAGACGTCACTCAACTCGCGGCGGGAATTCAAACTCTGGCGCTGGACGAGAAGACGGACGAGTACGTTCGAAAGCTGAGCAATCAGATGATCGAAGAGGCGACGATGCCGTTCACCAGCGCCTTCGCCAATAGCATCGTTTCGAATGGTTCCGAGGATCATGGAGTGCCACAAGAGCCCAACGGTCATAATGCAGTCACGAATGGTGCCGCCAAGCACGACTTGATGCAATCTCGCTCCAGTTTAGTGGAGTCCAATGGAGCGCCAGTGGAATATGAGAAGACTGACCCGGCACTCGATGATATTCTGAATGCGTGCGCTCAGGAGAGTGAGAAGATCGATTCCAAGGAGGTGTTGCATATGCCAGTGGCCCCGGGATCTGCAGTCGTCAAGGCCACCCGTTTCGCTCGTCCCTACTACTTCGATGTGGTCACTGCGCCGAGGAATGAGAAGCTGGAGACGACGGCGTCGGCTGAAGGACTCCAGGAGTTCATCTCAAAGGTTCGATCGAGAAATGTGATTTTGGCATCGAAGGAGATCACTGGAGAACAGTTACAAGCACTGCTTCTCGGGAAACAGACATGGTGTGATGGAGGTAAGGAAATGCGCTCTATTGAGAATATGATTTAAGAAAAATTGCAAAAAACCATGAAAATTATTGAAAAATCACAAAAATAGGCTAGAAAATAGCGATTTGTCAGAAATTTCCATTATTTTCTGCCTATTTTAACCTAAAAATCATGATTTTCAGCCGATTTTTGACTTAAAAATCATAATTTTAAGCCATTTTTTTAGCGAAAGATCATGATTTCCAGCCTATTTCGACCTAAAAATTATGATTTTCAGCCAATTTTTGAACTAAAAATCAAGATTTTTAGCCAATTTTTGACTTAAAAATTATGATTTTTAGCCTATTTTTGACCAAAAAATCAGAATTTTCAGCATATTTTTCACCAAAAAAATCAGGATTTTTAGCCTATTTTTGACCTAAAAATCATGATTTTGAGTCTATTTTTAAACTAAAAATCGACAAAAATGCTTGAATTTCCAGCGCACTCGTGCACCATCATCCCGACGCACTCCTCGCCGAACCTTCTGGACTTCCGTCACCGAAACGAGGAACAACTCGCCACCGTCCATCTCGTCCTATCGGCTCCAGTTGAGAAGCAACGGACTACTGTCAGTTCGGAAGCCGGCGCCACCGACTACGAGTTGGCCAAAATCTCATTGGAATAACTTATTTTTGATTGTCTTGTGAATAATATATAGCTTCCCGAGAGCAGCTTCCCCCGCGTTTTAACTTATTTTTCATGTTTCCCATAAGCTCCGCCCCTTTCCCTATAAGCTCCGCCCCCAAAAAAGAATTTCTTGTGTATTGCGGCCTCCCAGAAATGACTAATTAAAATAGTCAGTACTTAAAACGAGAACATCTTCAGAAGGCGTTACACACACTCACACACACACACAAAGATATGTAAAATTAAAATATTTATTAAATTCCAGTAATCTTGAATTCCTTCATCTTCACTCTGAAATCCTCTCGTCTCTCTAGCTCCTCTTCACTCTCCACCTTCAGCTTCCAAATGCCACGTGGCGCCTCTCCCCAGAAGTGCACTGACACGAAATCCCACTCCAGAAGGTCCGGCGACGTGTCGGATGGCCGAACCGCCAACAGTTCGGATTCAGTGCCACGTGGCGATTCTAGAAGGATTCGGACTTTGCCACGATGGGGATGACAGATGGATCCGGTCAGGATGACCCTCTCGATTCTGGAAATCTCTTGGCAATCGGAGAAATCGATGGATCCAGATGTCAGCTGGATTCTGGAGCACGTCTTCTGAGGATCTACAAGTTGCCACGTGGCAGCCTTCTCGACCAGTGTCTTGGCATCTAGGAGACCGAAGCCAACGCTTGGGTGGAATTTCAGTCCGGCGGAATTTGTCTGAAATTGAATTTTGACGGCACTGGAGTTTGAGGAATGGACGATGAGGTGTTGAATGTCGCGTTGGGAGAGGGCGGGGCTGAAATTCAAGGAGATACAGACACACAGACACACAGATTGCTCACTTTGCCTCTAGTGCCAATGCGATGATTCCGGAGGCGATGGCAGCCGAGGCGGAGGAGCCGGAGATCGAGGAGCACGTGGATTCGAGACCCGTGGTTTGCTGGAAATTGGAAAATGCGCTCTATTGAGAATTTTTTGAAACTTTTGCACAAAATTGTCTTGATTTTGTGAGATATTTGGAAGAAAAAGAGAAAACGCGCTCTAATGAGAATACATTTTTTCACAAAACTTATAGCTTTCGTCAAACTGGACAAGTTGAAAACGCGCTCTATTGAGAATAAATTTTTTTCGGAAAGTTTTTAATTGATTTTTTGAATTTTCCCAAAAAAATACCAGTATTTTGCTGTAAGAAAACGCGCTCTATGGAGAATAAAATTTTTTTCTTGAATTTTCGAAAAAATTTACAACAATTGATTTTGAAAAATCGCAATTTGAAAATTTTGCGAAAAATTGAAAATGCGCTCTGCTGAGAAATTTTTTAATTGAATTTTTCGAATAAAAATTCACAAAAATTGACAAATTTTTCGCATTAAAAAAATTGACAACGCGCTCTATTGAGAATACGATTCCTTGAAATTTTGAATTTTTCGAAGAATTAATTCCGCAAAACTAACGAATCGTTTGCGTTTAAAATTGAAACCGCGCTCTATTGAGAATACAATTTTATTTTTAATTTTTCGAAAAAAATTACAACAATTAATTTTGAAAAGTCGCAATTTGAAAGTGTTGCGAAAAATTGAAAACGCGCTCTGCTGAGAAATTTTAAATTGGATTTTTGAATTTTTGGAAAAAAAAATCTCACAAAATTGACGAATTTTTCGCATGAAAAAATTGAAAACGCGCTCTATTGAGAATACAATTTTTCATTTTTCAAAAAAAAAATCCCGAAAAGGGACAAATTAAAAAAAAGCGCGATTCGAAAAATTTTCGAAAAATTGAAAACGCGCTCTACTGAGAACTTTTTTGAAAATCGGGTTTTTTAAAATTTTTCGGAAAAAAATCTCACAAAATCGACGAAATTTCGCTATAAAAACTGAAAACGCGCTCTATTGAGAATCCTTTTTTTTGCACAAATTATATTGAAAAATCGCATTCTCAATAGAGCGCGTTTCCAGTTTTCGCAAAGTTGTGCAAAAATAAAAAAAAACCGAAATTTAAAACTCCAAAAAAAAAAAATTAAAAATTGCAAAATTGCAAAATTGAAAACGCGCTCTATTGAGAATACCAACTTTTGTAGTTTTTAAGGCTGGTTTTTTGAATTTTTGAAAATTGACAATTCAGCTTAAGAATAGCTGGAAAAATGAAAACGCGCTCTATTGATAATTTTCGGAAAAAAAACCAACAATCATAGAATCTCCACCGGAAACTGCTGCTAAAACTGCCGAACAACCTTCCGCATAAGCCGATGGGACACCAGAGGAGCTAATGACACCGAAACTTATCTGAAAATTGAAGAATTTGAAAATTTAAAATTTTGAAAAAAAATTTCAAAAAAAAAAATTTTTTCGAAAATTTTTTTTTTCAAATTTTCTCAATGATCACCGTACCGTATATTCATTACTAACATAACCATCCAGTGCACAATTATCCCCATTCTCTCCTCCATTTCCACTGGCCCACACAAATATATTGCCTTTCCCATTTCTCCCAAAAACCGCTCCATTCTTAATGGCGTCTTGTGTGAATTTTGCAGGTTTTTCAGCTGTTAATCCATCGTCTTTTGGTCCCCAACTGACTGAATAAATGTCTATCTGAAATTAAAATGGATACACAGACACACAGATGGACACTAACAGTTTGGGGGCATGTATCTCGGTTACTGTAAGAGTTATCAAAAAGTGATAAACTAATGAAATGTAGCTAATATTATGATAAACATTTTATTAGTTGACTACTTTTTGATATCTCTTACAGGAAATGAGATATATGAGCTCAAAATAGACGCTATGCGCGGTGCACCGTCGGTAAAGCGCACTTTTTCTTTGATCTTATTTATCTCGATTCCTGTCGAAGATATTAAAAAGTTGTCAACTGATAAAATATTGCTGATATTATGATAAGTAATTTATCAGTTGACAACTTTTTGATATCTCTTATAGGGACCGAGATATGTGGGCTCAAAGTAATGAGACTACCAGAGGGTGGAGAGGGGGAGGGGCCTGCCTCTTTGAACCACTTTATCTCATTTCCTGTAAGAGATATAAAAAAGTTGTCAACTACAAAAATGCAGCTTTAGTTTTGTTCTACATAATATAACTTACCAAATCTTTCTCAAATGCCAACGCATCGCCTTCCAATGCATCATTCAACTCGTCCTGTCCCAATAGTCTTATGGCACCAAGTGTTGCCCCATGACCCACTCCGAGCCCACACTGATTACCTTCCATTGACACTAGACCAGCGCATTGGGTACCGTGTCTAAAATTGTTTTTTTTCAGCTAAAAAACATATAAATTGTTCCAAAATTGACTGGAAAACACTAGAAAACAACGCACCTATTTGAAAAACAAATATCTCAAAAACTACTGTAGCTATCAAAATTTTGTAAACTATAAAACTGTAGAAAATTTAATTTCCTACATTTTTGTAGTTGCTAACTTTTTTCCAGCTACAGTCGTTTTTGAGATATGCGCCTTTGAAGGTAGCGTACTCCGTGCGCCATCTCAAAAAACTGTAAATTGCAGAAATATAGGAAATTTAATTGCAAACATTTTTGTAGTTTACAAATTTTTGATAGCTGCAGTAGTTTTTGAGTTATGCGCCTTTAAAGTAATTATCCCCATGGGGGTGAGACGGTACGCTAACTTTAAAGGCGCATAACTCAAAAAGTACTGTAGCTAGGAAAAAGTTAGCAATTACAAAAATGTAGGAAATTCAATTCTCTAAATTTTTAAAAATTACTGCGTTTCCTTGGAGATCGTCGGAATCGGCAAACTTCCAAACTTCACAAAATCAAAGGAGACACGTGGCGAGAAGGCGCTTCTCAAGTCCACATGGCCCACATCAACACCATCATCCACAACGGCTACAGTAACCCGACTAGCGTTGTATCCAGCCTCCCAAGCTTCTCGAATCATCATAGACGGTGTTAGATTCCACTGAAAATAGTTTTTTTTTTGTTAATTTTAAAGGGACATCGGGTAGAAGGCCACCCTACAGTTTGAACCCATATATCTCGGTTACTGTAAGAGATATGGAAAATGTGTCAACTGATAAAACGTTGCTGATTTTATGATAAACATTTTATCAGTTACCAAGTTTTTCATATCTCTTACTAGAAAGGAGTTAAATCGACCCAAAGTTAAGGCACCTTCGTAGCTGGCATGAGCCCTATACAACAATTTAATCGTCTGTACGCATTTTTCTAGAACTCCGGGTGTTTAGGTTTTTATATCATTTTGTAGCTCTTTTTAAGCTCTACAACATAATATAACAATCAATATATTTCACTATCAGTGATAAGAGTTTGAGCCGTTGAAAAGTTGAGTAGCTCTAGGTGCTCCTCACCTAACATTTAGCCAATTTATCTCGGCTCCCATGAAAGATATCAGAAAGCTGTTAACTGATAAAATATTGCTTTTTTATGATAAACATTTTATCAGTTGACACATTTTTGATTTCTCTTACAGAAAATGAGATATAGGGGCTCAAAGTTAGATGGCACTCTATTAGAGTGTAATGGCTCCACAGATCTCCACCATTTTCGTTTCCGTGTTTTTTATCTTGGCTGGAATTTTGTCTAGAATAAACCCTTAATCTTCTATTCCATCGTGATTCGTGAAATTACTCATTTTTAAATTGGCACTTGCAAAAAAATCTGAATAACAAAAATTATGTCACTTTTTTTCTTTTTTCAAAGCTCCGCCCACTTTTCTCATTAGCGTTTTTTTTTTCATTTTTCTCTTTACCACCAAAATGTTCCCATCATTTTTCTCATATGTCGAGCGAATCGCTGCTATTTTCGCTATAATTGGAAACTTGGTTCTAATCTGTTTGGTTATGAAGAAATCTGTGAGCAAATTTGGTAATTATCGATATCTAATGGTTTATATCTCGGTTTATGAGATTCTATTTGCTATACTGCATGGGTTGACTGTTCCGGTAAGTCTTAAAAAAAGAAAAAAAATTAAAGCCCACGAGGGAATCGAACCAACAAGCCCCTCCATCTGTGTGCACCAAAAGCAGCGCCGCACCCGCATACACCACGGGCGCAACTTGTCTACCACCCCTATATTTTTATCATAACCCTTCCGCTTCTAGGTGCTCGTCACCACCGACTGCTGGAACTTCCTAGTGATGCGTGTTGACAAGACATGCTTCTTCCAAATCTCCAAACCATTTCTACAATTTCTAAATGTCCTATTTTGTAATATGTTCGGAATGTCAATGTCTCTATTTGCCAATCATTTTATCTATCGGTATATGGTTCTGTCTCGCTCGAAAGCTCTCAGAGATTCCGATGGGCGGACTATTATCTTTATGGTCTTATTTTCCATTGTTTTTGGTGTAGTATGGGGATTATTGGCATGGGACACCATGCAACCATTTCCAGAGGCCGATCAGATGGTCAAGTAAGTTGGCTTGTCCAATTTGGACAAACCGACACACAGACAGACAGTTTTCCTTTTCAGTGAAAGATTTGCAATTCCAATGGGGTTAAGTCTAGATCAAATCGCATATGTTGGAGTCTTGTTTTATACAAAAGACGCTAATGGAAATAGTCTTGTTCACTGGCCATCAGTGGTTGGAATCGGCATTCAGAGCGTTTTTATTGTGAGTTACGCATACCTGTGAATTTGAGCTAATTTATCTCGGTTCCGGTAGAATATAGCAAAAAGTGATCAACTGATAAAATGTTGCTAACATCATAACAAACATTTTATCAGTAGACAACTTCTTGATATCTTTTACAGGAGCCGAGATAATTGAGCTCAAAGTTAACAGTACAAAAAAAACTACTTTGAGGAACCATATTCCCCAAAGGATTGATTTTCTGACTTGATATTTTTCAATTTGTCTACCAAAACACCTAATTATTCGTCACTTTATTTTTCAAGCTTATTTTTTTGCAAATCTATCATTATCTTCAATTTGTCATCTAATTTGCGTTTTCTAGGCGAGAAGTTACAGTAGCCATAAATTGCATTTCTACAGAATTTCAGCATTTCTAACCCTTTTCATTAGATTCGGCTTGAAAAATTCTTCAAAACGAGCCCAAACACGACTAGGCTCCGTCCACTTTAGGCGCGTCGCGGTCGTGCGTCGCGTGTCTGCTGGACGAAATTTCAAAGTGGGCGGAGCCTAGACGAGTTTGGGCTCGTTTAGAAGCATTTTTCAAGCCAAATTCATTCGTTTAAATAAAATTTAAATTTTTTGAGAAAAAAAAAGCGCATTGCAGCCGAAAATTCGAGAGTGGGCGGAGCTTAGGTTTATTTTCTGACCTATTTTTTATCGATTTTTTGATAATTTTCATGGTTTTTATGCGATTTTTTTGGATTTTTCCTCAAAAAAGTTTGAAATCTCAAAAATTTATTGAAAAATCGATAAAAATAGGTCAAAAAATAATCATGAAAACTCTTAAAGTTGAAGCTAGCGGCGCCAAAAAGCGCAGGTCAACTTTGAGCTCAATTATCTCGGCTCCTATAAGAGATATCAAAAAATTTTCAACTGATAAAATGTTTATCATGTTATCAGAAACATTTTATTTGTTGACAACTTTTTGATATATTTTATAGGAACCAAGATAAAAACTCAAAGTTTGTGGTGGAGGCCTAGAGCAACTGTTTTTTTCAACGGCTCAAACTCTTATCACTAATGGTAAAATTTATCGATTTTTATATCATTTTGTAGAACTTAAAAAGGGCTACAAAATGGCATAAAACGCTAAAAAACTAGAATTCCAAGAAAACGCGTACAGGCGAGTGAAGCATAGCATATAGCTCATGTCATCTAGAGCTATTAGAAGATCTCTACTTTGAGTCGATTTATCTAGTTTCCTGTAAGAGATATCAAAATATGGTCAACCAATAAAATATAAGTGATATTATGATAAACATTTTATCAGATGACCACTTTTTGATAGCTCTCACAGAAAATTAGATAAATTGGCTCCAAGATGGAAGACCTTCTATTGGAGGAAAACAACGCTTTTCAGGGCATCTCCATCACCACTATCCTCATATTTGGCTTCAAATGCTACCAAGAAACCCATAAAATCTCTATGAATGCTTCTCAAAGCAAAGCAAAAATTCAATCTGAACTATTCTATGCTTTGGTTTTCCAAACACTCATCCCAATCTGCCTAATTCATATTCCTGCTTCAATCGTTTACGCTGTTGCCGCTATGGACCAATCCAATGAGTATTACGGACAATTCCTCTCTATTTCTGTTTGCTTGTACCCTGCTTTGGACCCTCTACCCAACTTTTTCATCATCAAAGATTACAAGAAAGCCATTAGAAGTGAGTAGCCCACTCGAACCCTCAACTTCAAGCTCAATTATCTCATTTCCTGTGAAAGATATCAAAAAATTGTTAACTGATAAAATGTTTATCATAAAATCAGCAACATTTTATTAATTAACACAAATCTTTGATATCTTTTACAGGAATTGAGATAAAGTGGTTCAAATGGGCAGGCCCCTCCCACCTTACCTTTCCCCCCCCCCCCTCGGATCGTTTGATCACTTTTAGCCCATGTATCTCGGTTCCCGTAAGAGATATCAAAAAATAGTCAACTAATAAAATGTTAATCATAATATCACCAAAATTTTATCAGTTGACACATTTTTGATATCTCTTCTAGAAATCGAGATAATTAAGCTCAAAATGGGTGGGTTGGGTGGGCGGCTGTTAGATAGACATCTAATTTTCCAGATTTCTTCAAAACCCTTCGACACCGTCTTCTTTGTCAAAAAATGCCCTCAGTGTCACCAAACGGAACTCTCAGCCGTCCATGGGACCTTTCTAATAATACCTCTCTTTTTTAAGCGCACTTGATTTGCTTAATTGGACCTTAATTAGTTTATCTACTTCTTTAAAATGTGTTCTCTAATTCTCCAAGTTTTCCCCTTTAAAATGAACTAAAAATTACTAAAAACGGACCATTTTGAGATGAGATACGGGGGAGAGACGCAGACACTCTCGTTTCTCTGCGCTCTCGCCAAAATTCAAAGACGCATAACTCGCTTCAAAATTTAGCTAGAAAGATGCTTCTTGGCTAGTTTTGTAGGAAATTCTAAGGGGGTCAAATTGATAGTAAATTTGATTGAAGAACTATTAAAATTGAGAAAGATTAGAACGTTTTAGAACATTATCTCACCACATGAATCAGCGCCCCATTGTTCATCATTGGAGCGCGTTTGAAACGTCGAAATCTGTAGAGCTTCTCAATGAACTGTATCTGCTCACTGAATATCATCTCGGCCAGAATCTCATCTTCGATTCCACGTTTTCGTCGACGAAGACGTCGACCGATGTAGACGTCGGAGAAGGATTGGAGCTGAAAATGCGAATATCTCGAAAACTACTAGATCTAGAAAAATTTTGTAAACTATAAAAATGTAGAAAATTGAATTTCCAACATGTCTATAATTGCTAACTTTTTTCTAGCTACTGTAGTTTTTGAGTTATGCGCCTTTAAAGTTATTGATAGGATATAGACAATCCGTCTTTCGTGCATTGTTGAAATTTAACTTGTGTATGAAGAATCTTCTTGGTGACCTTATCGGTTGGGGAGGCACGAATTTGAATAAAAATTATTTATTCTCAACGTTTCGGCTTAATGCCATCTTCAGGAGAATAATGACAATTACCTACAAAAATGAGAATAGAAGAAGTGTGAACCGGTGTAGGGATGAGGTAGAGGTAGAGAAAACCGTAAAAATCAAAGGTAATAATGAACCATAAAGAACTGACAAGGAAAAAGGAAAAGAAGACATTTCGGTTGGGAAGTGGTGGGACCATAAAAAGATCACTATTGATTTTATGTTGTGTTGTTGTGTTGTGACGGCCACACTATATTCAAAAGGGAGGAGGGGAAGAAGAAGAAGAGAACACGGTGCCCGGTTTGAAGAAGACCGGCATGGGAGTAAAGGTAAAGACTAGATTACTTACAGGGTCCCCATATCCGCAACCAAGTCCGTTAGTTCTTCCTTGGTGTTAAAGGGGGACTCCGACCAAACATTTTTATTGCATTAAAATGTGTTAAAATTTATCTATTTTTCAAATACTATTGCGAAAAAATTCAAAGAAAATCCGAATTTCCCAAAAAAAGCCGTTGAAAAGGAAGAAAATTCAAAAAAAGGTGCCGCCGGGGGACGAGGATTTTCAGTGAGAAACCTAGGCCACGGCAGCGGGCTCCTTTCCTACGTGGCAAATATTCCGGATTTTTTTCAATTTCATGTCCGGCAGGTAAAAAACGTAAAAAACCACTGTCGGCGACTTGAAAAAAAGGCTGTCAGGTGCCGTGGCCTAGGTTTCTCACTGAAAATCCTCGTCCCCCGGCGGCACCTTTTTTTGAATTTTCTTC